ACCGTAATGCCCAGCTATCCACCTAGCAGGCTTGTAATCTCCCTTAGACAGGAGCCACATGGAAACTTGAGATGGAAATCAAGATGAGAAGGAAGCACGCCTTTCTTTGAGAGTTGTGACCAACAGCAGAAACATAGGGTGAAAGGCTTAGGTTGATTCAACCCAGAGCAGCTTCCGCCAAGTCCAATGTGCACCGATATCAGATGCTGGTGTCAGGTAGCGACCAAGCCAAGTCCAAGGTGTGACTCTCCAAGGCTAAAAAGGAGGAACGGGCAAATTTTGCCCCTCTAGGTGTTTTGGACTTCAACTCCCACAATTCCTAACAGAATTGTCTTTGAGTTCTGTTGATCCCACAAACGAACATTACATTTTTATTTATATAGATAACATTATAACATTATCAATATTATATGTACATACAATATATTATATTATATCAATATTATATTATATCATATCATATTATTAGCACAGCACAATATTTGTATTATATGTTACTATATTGTACTATACCATTATACTGTAATATTATTAGTAACTAGCGGTCCCCTGCCACGCATTGCTGTGGCCCAGTCAGGTGATCTGGAAAATAAAATAATGAGAAAGTGTTGTTTCTAATATATATATAATGTCTTTATGTTTGTGGGTAAACAGTATTTCTTGCTGTTTCTTTGCCAGTGTTGATGTCTGGTTTGCCTACTCTGGAACATGGAACATATCATTGTCCTTCTTTAAGGGCCCTTTCAAATCTATGATACTGCATCTATCATATACATTTATGTGTGTGTGTGAATGGCTGGATGGCCCTTTGTCAGGAGGGCTTTGATTATGTTTTCTTGCTGTGGTGAAGGGAGTTTGACTTGATGGCCTTAAGGCAGCATTTCTCAACCTGGGGTTTGGGACCCCTGGGGGGTTGCAAGGAGGTGTCAAAAGGTTGCCAAAGACCAACAGAAAACACAGTAATTTCTAGGTTCTTGTGGGTTAATTCGGGCTATATGGCCATGTTCTAGAGGCATTTTCTCCTGACATTTCACCTGCATCTATGGCAAGCATCCTTAGAGGTAGTGAGGTCTGTTGGAGTTTGGAAAATGGGTTTATATATCTGTGGAATGACTGGGGTGGGGCAAAGAGCTCTTCTCTGCTGGAGCTAGGTGTGAATGTTTCAACTGACCACCTTCATTAGCATTTGAAGGCCTGGCTGAGCCTTCAACAGTATTTTCTGTTGGTCATGAGGGTTCTGTGTGGGAAGTTTGCCCCAATTCTGTTGTTCGTCCGCTTCAGAATGCTCTTTGATTGTTGTTGAACTATAAATCTAAGTAACAACAACTCCCAAATGTCAAGGTCTATTTCCCCCAAACCCCATCTGTGTTCATATTTGAGCATATGGAATATGCATGCCAAGTTTGGTCCAGATCCATCATTGTATGAGTCCACAGTGCTCTCTGGATGTAGGTGAACGACAACTCCCAAACTCAAGGTCAATGCCCACCAAACCCTTCTAGTGTTTTGTGTTGGTTATGGGAGTCCTGTGTATCAAGTTTGGTTCAATTCCATTGTTGGTGGAGTTCAGAATTGTCTTTGATTGTAGGTGAACTATAAATCCCAGCAACTACAACTAAGTGACAAAATCAATCCCCTCCAACCCAATTTGGGTGTATCGAGATTTGTGCCAAACTTGGTCCATCTAGATCTAGGGAAGTAATGCTACCCCTCTATTCTGCCATGGTCAAACCACACCTGGAATATTGTGTCCAATTCTGGGCACCACAATTGAAGAGAGATGTTGACAAGCTGGAATGTGTCCAGAGGAGGGCGACTAAAATGATCAAGGGTCTGGAGAACAAGCCCTATGAGGAGCGGCTTAAGGAGCTGGGCATGTTAGTTAGGCCTGATTTTAATAGCAACTCTCAAGCAACCGGAAACCATGTCTCCCAATCCCCATGGAGCCAGTTAATTGAGAGTCTACTGTACTTATATTTTAACATGTTTTAGTTTTATGTCTGTGTGTTTTAATAGATGTGTTTGACTGTGAGCTAGCCCTATGAGGAGTGACTTAAAGAGCTGGGCATGTTTAGCCTGAAGAAGAGAAGGCTGAGAGTAGACATGATAGCAATGTATAAATATGTGAGAGAAACTCCTAGGGAGGAGGGAGCAAGCTTCCTTTCTGCTGCCCTGGAGACTAGGACGCAATGGAGCCATGGTTTCAAACTACAGGAAAGAAAGGAGATTCCACCTGAACATTAGGAAGAACTTCCTGACTGTGTGAGAGAGTTGTTCAGCAGTGGAACTCTCTGCCCCGGAGTGTGGTGGAGGCTCCTTCTTTGGAGGCTTTGAAACAGAGGCTGGATGGCCATCTGTCAGGGGTGCTTTGAATGCAATTTTCCTGCTTCTTGGCAGAATGGGGTTGGACTGGATGGCCCATGAGGTCTCTTCCAACTCTAGGATTCTATGATTCTAACTACAACTCCCAAATGACAAAATCAATTATACCCCCCCCCCCACTCAAGCCCACCAGTATTCAAATGTGGGCATATTGCATATTTGTATCAAATACATCCTGCATATCAGATATTTATATAATTATTCATAACAGTAGGAAAATTACAGTTGTGAAGCACTGAGCTGCTGAGCTTGTTGATCGAAAGGTCGCAGGTTCGATTCCGGGGAGCGGCGTGAGCTTCCGCTGTCAGCCCTAGCTTCTGCCAACCTAGCAGTTCGAAAACATGCAAATGTGAGTAGATCAATAGGTACCGCTCCGGCGGGAAGGTAACGGCGCTCCATGCAGTCATGCCGGCCACATGACCTTGGACGTGTCTATGGACAACGCTGGCTCTTCGGCTTAGAAATGGAGATGAGCACCACACCCCAGAGTCAGACATGACTGGACTTAATGTCTCGCCTCCTTGTTCTCTACCTTTACCTATATATATATATAGGAAAGAAGAAAGCGCAAAAGCTGGGTTGCAGCTGAACGTCAAAAAAACCAAGATTATGGCAACAAGAATGATTGACAACTGGAAAATAGAGGGAGAAAATGTGGAGGCCGTGACACACTTTGTATTTCTAGGTGCAAAGATTACTGCAGATGCAGACTGTGGCCAGGAAATCAGAAGACGCTTACTTCTTGGGAGGAGAGCAATGTCCAGTCTCGATAAAATAGTAAAGAGTAGAGACATCAGACTGGCAACAAAGATCCATTGCCTAGTCAAAGCCATGGTATTCCCTGTAGTCACCTACGGATGTGAGAGCTGGACCTTAGGGAAAGCTGAGCGAAGGAAGATCGATGCTTTTGAGCTGTGGTGTTGGAGGAAAGTGCTGAGAGTGCCTTGGACTGCGAGAAGATCCAACCAGTCCATCCTCCAGGAAATAAAGCCCGGCTGCTCATTGGAGGGAAGGATACTAGAGACAAAGTTGAAGTACTTTGGCCACATCATGAGGAGACAGCAAAGCCTAGAGAAGACAATTATGCTGGGGAAAGTGGAAGGTAAAAGGAAGAGGGTCCGACCAAGGGCAAGATGGATGGATGGCATCCTTGAAGTGACTGGACTGACCTTGAAGGAGCTGGGGGTGGTGACGGCCGACAGGGAGCTCTGGCGTGGGCTGGTCCATGAGGTCACGAAGAGTCAGAGACGACTGAACGAATGAACAACAACACAAAAACTTGGCTGTGGGACCAAACTTTCAGGACAGGGCAATAAAGCAGCAATAGGAAAGATTACCAGGCCAATTAGATTTGACGTGGATGACTAGGTGTATTTTAAATGGTGTATTTTAATATTTTGATAAATGTTTTTTTAATGTTTATGTATGTGTATATGATGTATGTGGAGGCCGTGATGGACTTTGTATTTCTAGGCGTAAAGATCACTGCAGATGCAGGAAATCAGGAGACGCTTCCTTCTTGGGAGGAGAGCCATGTCCAGTCTCGATAAAATAGTAAAGAGTAGAGACATCACACTGGCAACAAAGATCCATTGCCTAGTCAAAGCCATGGTCTTCCCTGTAGTCACCTACAGATGTGAGAGCGGGACCTTAGGGAAGGCTGAGCGAAGGAAGATCGATGCTTTTGAGCTGTGGTGTTGGAGTTAAGTCCTGAGAGTGCCTTGGACTGTGAGAAGATCCAACCAGTCCATCCTCCAGGAAAGAAAGCCCGACTGCTCACTGGAGGGAAGGATACTAGAGACAAAGTTGAAGTACTTTGGCCACATCATGAGGAGACAGCAAAGCCTAGAGAAGACAATGATGCTGGGGAAAGTGGAAGGCAAAAGGAAGAGGGGCCGACCAAGGGCAAGATGGATGGATGGCATCCTTGAAGTGACTGGGCTGACCTTGAAGGAGCTGGGAGTGGTGACGGCCGACAGGGAGCTCTGGTGTGGGCTGGTCCAGGAGGTCACGAAGAGTCGGAGACGACTGAACGAATGAACAACAACATTGGCAATCTGGTCTCTCGTTCCTCTGCCTTTTCTAAACCCAGCTTAAACGTCTGGCAAACGTCTCGCTCCATGTATTGCTGGATTGTATTATTATTATTAGTATTATATTGTATTACATTATAACATTATCAATATTATATGTACATACAATATATTATTATATTATTAGCACAGCACAATATTTGTATTATATGTCTCTATATTGTACCATACCATTATACTGTAACATTATTAGTAATATTACATATTACATGTCATATACAATATATAATTAATATATTGCTCCCAGATAGGCCTTTCCAGGAGGTAAGAATATAATTAGAAATAATTAAATGAGGGGCTTGGCCCTTAATTAACAATTAATTAATTAATTAACCCCTCTAGCTCATGACAGGCCTTCCTAGGCAGGAAAGGCCCCTTCCACCTCTCAATATGCTCTGAGCTGCTCTTGTAATCAGTATGAATAGCAAGAGAAGTCATAATGATGTGGAGAATGGGGCCTGCTTCCCACCAGGCTGTCCTCCATCAGCTCCAGTGTTGTCTTCACCGCCTCCCTGTCGTGATTACCTCGTCCACGTCGTGCTCGAGAGGCCCCCCAACCTCCAGCTCCACCACCGCCGCCATCTTGCCCCCTCGCCAACTGGCCAACTCGCTTCCGCCGGCGCCCACCAATCAGCGCCCGACGCCGGCTCCCTCTCCACCAATCAGCGTGCGATAGAGTTCGCCTCCGATGTAGCTATTGGCTGAGGTCGCTTCGGAGGCGGGGTCTCTCCTTCTGTGAGGAGAAACTTTTGCCTGAGAGGACGAGGGATTGTCTGATATGTGCGGAACTGGTTCCCGGACGAAAAAACCCTCCCTGTTCGAAACCCAGCATCCAAACTGGACCACCACGCGTTAAATACGTTCAATAAAAATACCCGCGTGAATCTGTTTTGACACTTTTAGTGAGGGCTCAATTTTGCGTTTTGTTTTGAGGCTGTAAATTGAGAGATACTCCCTTATTCTCACCGCCTTCCTTGGCAGGCAATACTCTAATACCAAAAAACTACAACTACCGGCATGCATGGCGGCAGGTCCTGTCAGATAATATTACTCTATTTATGACAAAACACCCGCTTGAAACTTGAAAAAAATAATTTCCTAGGGTAGAGAAAGAGAGGGAGACAGACGGAGGAATGCGTTGTTTAATTCATTGTAATTTTTGACTTCATTTTTTTTCTTTCAATCCGCCTTTTTCTCCACTCAAGGAGGACATGACCTTGCTTACGTCACAGCGAGGGGAAAGAGTCAGCCAATCAGCAGGGAAGGTGAAGGGGCGGTTTGGGCGGGAGATTGAGGACACCCGGAAGAACTTGCCGGCTCTTCCCTTTTGTGCCTCTTTCTCAGGTTGGTGAAGGACTACAGGGCCCATCATCCAGGGGAAGGCCCAGAGATGGATTGGAGGAGGCCAGAGTGAGGTAGGTGGGCTGGGAGTGGGGTATGAGGGTGGGAAAGGGCAGCCTGGCTTGGATGTGGATGGAGCAGAGCTTGATTCCAGGAAGGCCTGCCTCTGAAAGAGTCCCCCATTACTCTCTTCTACTCTGGACCATGCTCTGATCTACAAGAAGCACTGACTGGCACAACCTGGGGATCACAACCAGACACAGTGAAGACATCTGCCCTTGCGCTGTGCTACTCTGCTGCTGAATACGTATGCCCAGTGTGGAACACATCTCACCACGCTAAAACAGTGGATGTGGCTCTTAATGAGACATGCCGCATGATCACGGGGTGCCTGCGCCCCACACCACTGGAGAAATTACACTGCTTAGCCGGTATTGCACCACCTGACATCCGCTGGGAAGGAGCAGCCAATAGTGAAAGGACCAAGGCAGAGACATTATTTATTTATTTATTTATTTATTTACTACGCTTATATACCGCAATTCTCAGCCCAAGGGCGACTCGTTGCGGTGTACAACATAGAAAAACAGGTGCTAAATACAAGACGTAGTATAAAAATCCACAATTCATCATTATCAAAAAACAACTCATCAAAACATCAACATTACTACAAAAGCCAATTCTGAGTCGTCTCATCGTCAAACCCACAATCCGATATCATTTCCGTTGTTCCAATCCTATGGTCAAATTGCCAGTCCTTGCACTTCTTATTCAAATGCCTTCTTAAACAGCCAGGTCTTTAGGAATATCAACAAGGAGGGAGCTAGCCTGATGTCCACGGGAAGGGTGTTCCACAGCTGAGGAGCCACCACCGAGAAGGCTCTATCTCTCGTCCCCGCCAGCCGTGCCTGTGATGCAGGCAGGATCGAGAGCAGGGCCTCCCCGGAAGATCTCAAAGTCCTCGTGGGCTCATAGGCCGAGAGGCGGTCAGATAGGTATCTTGGGCCGGAACCGTTTAGGGCTTTATAGGCCAACGCCAGCACCTTGAATTGAGCTCGGTAGCAAATCAGCAGCCAATGGAGCTTGTACAACAAGGGCGTTGTATGCTCCCTGCGTCCCACTCCTGTTAGTAACATGGCTGCCGCACATTGGACCAGTTGGGGCTTCCGGGCCATCTTAAAAGGCAACCCCACGTAGAGAGCGTTGCAGTAGTCTAAATGGGATGTAACCAGAGCGTGGACTACCGTGGCCAAGTCAGACATCTCCAGCTCATCCCTTGTTTGGGTATCAGCCAGCACGTCATCGACTTAAATCTAGAAATAGTTTTCTAAGATCTACAGAGACACTCGCTGGAACACCCCAGCAAGTGAGAGTCCAAAAGTGGCAGGCTCAAACCCAGCACCTCAATCCATGGCCGATACCAAATGAGAGACTCCCTCTTGGGCACATAGAAGACTGGGTGACTTTGAAGGCGCTGAACAGACTGCGCTTTGGCACCACAAGATGCAGAGCCAACCTTCAGAAATGGGGCTACAAAATGGAATCCACGACATGCGAGTGTGGAGAAGAGCAAACCCCTGACCACCTGCTGCAATGCAACCTGAGCCCTGCCACATGCACCATGGAGGACCTTCTTGCAGCAACCCCAGAGGCACTCCAAGTGGCCAGATACTGGTCAAAGGACATTTAATCAACTACCAAGCTTGCAAACTTTGTATTTTATCTGTTTGTTTGTTTTGTTCTGTTAGGTCTGGTTGCCCCTGACACGATAAATAAATAACTCATAAAAACACTGAAAAACACAGCAGAAGGGACTTAAAAAGCAAAAAAACCTCCCCCAAAATACATTACAATGCATGCACAAAACCACACACACACATACATATATAAACACACATATATGCACACACACGCACAAAACACATACATAGAAAGGGGGAAGGAAAGAAAGAAAGAAGGGTAGAGAAGAAAATAAAAAGGTAAAAGAGGAAAAGAAGGAGAGAAGGAACGAAAGAGAGTAAGAGGGAAGGAAGGAAGGAAGGAAGGAAGGAAGGAAGGAAGGAAGGAAGGAAGGAAGGAAAGAGACAAGGGGGGGAGGATTGATTTTGTAATTTGGGAGTTGTAGTTGCTGGGATTTATAGTTCACCTATCATCAAAGAGCATTCTGAACTCCACCTGCGATGGATTTAAACCGAACTTGGCACACAGAACTCCCATGACCAAGAGATAAGACTGGAAGGGTTTCGTGGGCATTGACCTTGAGTTTGGGAGTTGTAGTTCACCTATATCCAGAGGAGTGCTGTGGATTCATGCGATGATGGATCTGGACCAAACTTGTCATGAATACTCAATATGTCCAAATGTGAACACCGGTGGAGTCTGGGGAAAATAGACCTTGACATTTGGGAGTTGTAGTTGTTGGGATTTATAGTTCACCTAAAATCAAAGAGCATTCTGTACTCGACCAACAGTAGAATTGGGTCAAACCTCCCACACAGAATCCCAATGACCAACAGAAAATACTATGTTTTCTGACGGTCTTTGGCGACCCCTTTGTCACCCCCTCACAACCCCTTCAGGGGTCCCAACCCCCAGGTTGAGAAACACTGGATTAGAGAGCTGTCTGGCCAAAACTTGATCCACATTGTATGAATTTGGTTGTTTTAAAGTATTGAGCTATTTTGGGTCTTAATCCTGGAGAAAAAGTGGGGTGTAAATAATCATTAAAGACAGAGGAAGAAATCTAGCAAGAAATAATGTCATCTCTTTCTTTTTTAACCTCTTTTCTCTTCTTCTCCAGCATCTGAGCGTTTTGATGGGGGAAGATCCAGAAAAGCAAATGGTGGAGATTCTCCAACAACTTAAAGATGGCTCCAGTTAACATTAAATATGTTGTGTCTTTCACGTCTCAGGTAATATGAATGATGTTCTATGTGGTTGTTGTTGTTGTTGTTGTTTTTAATTTGAAAGAAAATATGCTGCTTTTGTCTGTGAACAGAACTTGAACTGCAAATATGTTTACAGTAGGCTCTCAGTTAACCAGAACTCTCAAGCAACTGGTAAAAAATTGAAGAAATAATGCTATAGTAGAACTTTAAATCAAAGTCATGGAACGTGTGGTGGCCTCGCAACCCCAGGTGTTTTTGGAATACATAGATTATTTAGATCCAGCGCAGTCTGGCTTTAGGCCTTGAGTCCCCTCTTGGGTCGAGAAAGGCCGAGTAGAAGTGAGGTAAAGAAATAAATAAGGCCGGGACATGGAACCGAAACATCCTTAGTGGATGATCTATGCTGGGAGCTGGACAGAGGGAGTATGTCTGTGTTGGTTCTCCTGTACCTCTCAGTGCCCTTCGATATTGTTGACCATGGTATCCTTCCGGAGTGCCTCGCAGGAATGAGGCTTGGAGGTACTGTCTTACAGTGGCTCCTGTCCTTCCTGGAGGACCATTCATAGAATCAAAGAGTTGGAAGAGACCTCCTGGGCCATCCAGTCCAACCCCATTCTGCCAATAAGCAGGAATATTGCATTCAAATCACCCCTGACAGATGGCCATCCAGCCTCTGTTTAAAAGCTTCCAAAGAAGGAGCCTCCACCACACTCCGGGGCAGAGAGTTCCACTGCTGAACGGCTCTCACAGTCAGGAAGTTCTTCCTCATGTTCAGATGGAATCTTCTCTCTTGTAGTTTGAAGCCATTGTTCCCCGTCCTAGTCTCCAGGGAAGCAGAAAACAAGCTTGCTCCCTCCTCCCTGTGGCTTCCTCTCACATATTTATACATGGCTATCATATCTCCTCTCAGCCTTCTCTTCTTCAGGCTAAACATGCCCAGCTCCTTAAGCCGCTCCTCATAGGGCTTGTTCTCCAGACCCTTGATCATTTTAGTCGCCCTCCTCTGGACTCATTCCAGCTTCTCAATATCTCTGTTGAATTGTGGTGCCCAGAATTGGACACAATATTCCAGGTGTGGTCTAACCAAAGCGGAATAGAGCATGGGGAGCATGACTTCCCTAGATCTAGACACTATGCTCCTATTGATGCAGGCCAAAATCCCATTGGCTTTTTTTGCCGCCACATCACATTGTTGGCTCATGTTTAACTTGTTGTCCACGAGGACTCCAATATTCACACGTACTGCTCTCGAGCCAGGCTTCGTCCCCCATTCTGTGTCTTTGCATTTCGTTTTTTCTGCCTAAGTGGAGTATCTTGCATTTGTCCCTGTTGAACTTCATTTTGTTAGTTTTGGCCCATCTCTTCATTCTAGACACTAGACTAATTGATTCATCCTACGAGAGTTGAATGAAAAGTAATGTCATGGGGGATGTTGTCAAAGGCCTTACTGAAATCGAGATCTGCTACATCCACAGCCTTTCCTGCATCTACCTCCAGCAAACGGTGGCAGCGCGCAAGGGCAAACGACGGTGGCGCTGAGATCGAGCAAACCATGGTGACATGAGAGGAACGGTGGTGCATTCACGGAGGTGTTGGTAACGAGAGGCGCAACATCCAACAGCCAGTGGAGGAATCAACCCTTTCTGAGGTCTCTAGAAAGAGCGAGAAACTGCGTGAAGGGGTCTGAATGGAGCTGAACTCGAGTTCTCCGACCGAGGTCCCGCTCAAGCGCAAGCGCGTCGTGCTGACCCTCAAGGAGAAGATGGAAATCTGCGAGAGGCTCGAGAACGGAGAGAGCCGTGCGGTGCTCATGGATGAATTCAACGTCGGCTCGTCAACCATCTACGGCATCAAAGCCCAGGCACAGAAGATCAAGGAGTTCTATTTCAAGTCGGAGAGCGAACGCAGCGTGGAGAAGCGCCACACTCTCCACACGCCGAAGATGGAGGCGCTGGACCAAGCGCTGTACGAGTGGTTTTCGCTGAAGCGGGCCGAGGGCAGCCGCGTGTCCGGTCCCATGTTGCAGGAGAAAGCGAGGGAGTTCCACGAGAAGATGAACCTGAGCGGCCAGTGCTCCTTCTCCAGCGGATGGCTGACCCGCTTCAAGGTCCGCCACGGCATCTGCAAGCTGGACTTGTCCGGAGAGCCGAGGGCATCCAGCTTTGAAGCAGCGGCTTCGTTTCGCGACGTGTTCAGCGAGTTGGCCGTGGACGAAGCCATTCGTGTCACTCACAGACTGAACACGGAAGACGTCATGGAGGCCGTCGTGAACCGCGGGACGATGACGGTTGTAAAGGAGGAAGAGAGCGACGGCAATGGAGGCGATGATAATGATGACGGGGACGAGGTGGAAAAAGTCTCCTGGCACAAAGCGGCCGCCGCTTTCGAGACCGTGATCGCCTTTGCAGAACAGCAGCCCTTCTTCGCTCCTCACCACGTGATGCAGCTGCACATCATGCAAAACATGACCCTGCAGGAGTGGCACAAGGCCGTCACGCAAACGGAGCTTCCTTCGTTTTTCCAGAGAGACACTCGTGAATTTGCCAGATCGGCATCATCGACTGAGCTAGATCCCAAACCATCCACATCCGCTTTTCCTGACCTTGTCCCACCTGCAGCAGCGGCGGGAGCCAATGATCCCGCTGCAAAGTCTACCCAGTAAAATAATAATAAGGATATTGTCGAAGGCTTTCATGGCCGGAATCACTGGGTTGTTGTAGGTTTTTCCGGGCTATATGGCCATGTTCTAGAGGCATTTTCTCCTGGCGTTTCGCCTGCATCTATGGCAAGCATCCTCAGAGGTTGTGAGGTCTGTTGGAAGTAGGAAAAATGGGTTTATATATCTGTGGAATGACCTGGAGCTAGGTGTGAATGTATTGTCGAACGCTTTCATGGCTGGAATCACTGGGTTCTTGTGGGTTTTTCTGGGCTATATGGCCATGTCCTAGAGCCATTTTCTCCTGACGTTTCGCCTGCATCTATGGCAAGCATCCTCAGAGGTAGTGAGGTCTGTTGGAACTAGGAAATGGGTTTATATATCTGTGGAATGACCAGGGTGGGACAAAGGACTCTTGTCTGCTGGTGCTAGGTGTGAATGTTTCAACTGACCACTGCCAGGCTATCAAATGCTAATCAAGGTGGTCAGTTGAAACATTCACACCTAGCTCCAGCAGACAAGAGTCCTTTGTCCCACCCTGGTCATTCCACAGATATATAAACCCATTTTCCTAGTTCCAACAGACCTCACTACCTCTGAGGATGCTTGCCATGGATGAAGGCGAAACGTCAGGAGAGAATGCCTCTAGAACATGGCCATATAGCCTGAAAAAACCCACAAGAACCTAGGTGTGAATGTTTCAACTGACCACCTTGATTAGCATTTAATGGCTTGGAAGTGCCTGGGGGGAATCTTTTGTTGAGTGTGATTTCATGTGCCTGATTGTTTACTCTCTGTTGTTTTGCTGTTGTCATTTTTGAGAGAAACCATGAAAATGAACAAAATCTGTCTACCAGTATTAAAAAACTCAAAAATTACAACAGCAAAACAACAGAGAGTAAACAATCAGGCACATCAAATCACTCTCAACAAAAGATTCCCCCAGGCACTTCCAAGCCATTAAATGCTAATCAAGGTGGTCAGTTGAAACCTTCACACCTAGCTCCAAAAGACAAGAGTCTTTTGTCCCACCCTGGTCATTCCACAGATATATAAACCCATTTTCCTAGTTCCAACAGGAAAATGACCAGGGTGGGACAAAGAATGCTAATCAAGGTAGTCAGTTGAAACCTTCACACTTAGCTCCAACAGACAAGAGTCCTTTGTCCCACCCTGGTCATTCCACAGATATATATATAAACCCTTTTTCCTACTTCCAACAGACGTCACTACCTCTGAGGATGCTTGCCATAGATGCAGGCGAAACGTCAGGAGAAAATGCCTCTAGAACATGGCCATATAGCCCAAAAAAACCTACAACAACCCAATAATAGGGATGTTGTCGAAGATTTTCATGGCCGGAATCATTGGGTTGCTGTGAGTTTTCCTGGCTGTCTGGCCATGTTCCAGAAGCATTCTCTGATTAGGCAACTATGTTTGTATATGAATATGTGATTTTAACTAATGTTATTGTTTTAATTTGCTATGTATTTTATTTTACATTGATGTATTGATATTATGGCATTGAATTGTTGCCCATGTTAGCCACCCTAAGTCCCACCCCCCACCCACCCCCCGGGGGTGAGACGGGGGGGGGGGGTAGAAATAGTGTAAATAAATAGTGTAAATAAATGACATTTCACCTATATCTGTGGCAGGCATCCTCAGAGGTTGTGAGGTATTTTGGAAAATAACCTCCCTTGCTTAATGTATTGTCGAAGGCTTTCATGGCCGGAATCACTGGGTTGTTGTAGGTTTTTTCGGGCTATATGGCCATGGTCTAGAGGCATTCTCTCCTGATGTTTCGCCTGCATCTCTGGCAAGCATCCTCAGAGGTAGTGCCTCTGAGGATGCTTGCCATAGATGCAGGCGAAACGTCAGGAGAGAATGCCTCTAGACCATGGCCATATAGCCCGAAAAAACCTACAACAACCCTCTCTTGCTTAGTTTCCAACAGACCTCACAACCTCTGAGGATGCCTGCTGTAGATGTGGGTGAAACGTCAGGAGAGAATGCTTCTGGAATATGACCAGACAGTCTGGAAAACTCACAGCAACCCAATAATAACGACAATGTGTAGTGTGTGTTTTTTTTAAAATTATGTTTATGTTAGTGAAGCTGACTGCCATTGAACTCAAACTGCATCCTGCCTTCACCAAGCTGTCTTCATAATACAACAAAACTGTATTATATTAAGTGTGTCTTTGTCTTCATTTGCTTTTAATGACTGTATTTCCATACAAATATGAAGTCAGTACAGTTTATGCTGCCGTCTACTATGGGGTTTGGATTAGTATTAGTTAGGCCTGTTTTTAATAGCAACTCTCAAGCAACCAGAAACCATGTCTTCCAATCCTCATGGAGCCAG